ACTGGTACAAAATGTATTAAAATTTACATCCATTTACATCTGAAGATATATATGTTATTGCTGATGAAGTGCTGAAAAAAGGGAAGACGGAGACCAAATCATGGCTGATTTAGATGTTTTTTTTACACCGTTGCCATGGAAACCATGCGTCTAGTCGCGGTATTCAGGTGGAATCTGGTCCCGTTCCGACAGTGCCCACCAGCAGTAACTCAACTGCGGGTTTTAATTTTCATTGAATCAAAATATATATTTTGATTCACGATTTACCACACTTACGATAACCCTAAAACGCTTACAAGATTTCAGGGCATTCATTTTTGGAGTTTATAACTTGAACCGTAAAATCTTGTTAAGCAATTTCGATTTATTTTACAAAAATCTTGAGCTGTAAGGTAAAAAATCAAGACGGACTCATAAACCACAGCTGCAGAAAACATTTTGAGGTGACGTTACAACATTGTTGGTGGTGATGGTTACACAAAATTTGGTTAGCGTTTTACTGTCTGCATGATATTCATAAAATTTCACACAGACATATGACAGACAGACGACTTACAAATGACAAACAGACAATAGACAGACGACAGACAGACAGATGGAAATGGGAGACCTATTTTCTATACATTAGGGTCATGGAGCGTCGAGAAAACATGAAAGTAGGTGTTCGCCGGACTACTACTAAAAGTGGAATTGGTTCCATATGTAAAATGTATATATTTTTATACAGTATACGCCTGCTAAGTTTCAGATTCTTTAAAATGAACAGCAAAAAAAATATTCACTACCACATCTTGATTTCAGTTGTCCGAGTTTACGTATTGCACTTTCAGTTATTTGAAAACAAAATAGTTTGAAATTTAGAATGAATTATCACAAAGATTTTACTATAGGTATAATTGTAATATATTGGTTTGTTTTTTTCGAAATCACGTCAAAATTTTCTTTTCATGTAGAATGAAATGTTTTTTTTTTGGTGTGCGAAATAAAATATTATACTCGTTTGTTTTAATGCAACAAAAAAATTTCTTATACCGAAAGAGCAAGCAATGAAGAATACGCTCAAAGTCAGTTATCGATTTTTGAAAATTTGTCTTTGACAGAATTTTTGTCTTGTCGGATTAGCGTCTATTTGAAAGTTTGAGTTGAAAATGTGACGATCCAAGACCAACGTTCAAAAATCTGTGGCTGTATTTGATCGTGTTTTTATTGCTCTGTCGGTATAAAATGGAATGGGAGATTTGTTCCAGTATAGCATTTTTTTTTACCAGTGCTTAAAATTTTGCGATATATAGTTTGTTTACCAAAATGCTTCAAAATGATTTTTAAATCTTCGCAGACCAAATAGAAAAGAACGTCATTTGTTCAAAATTTTTAGGAGATTCATAAAGTATGTTTTTTTAAGTCCACCGCCTGTGCTTTAGAAAAGTTCCATCTGAATTTTCGGACAGTTTAACTAAGGAGGTGATCATATATTTTTAACTATTGGATCTTAACATGCACTATGATATTGTTACGAAATAAACCCATACTCCGCCCCGGTACGACGTCTATGGGTTTTCTAGTATGTGCGGCGATGGTGGGTGACTCATCACTGATGACCTAGAAACGGCGTACGCGATCCATCCAGAGAAATGCATGGATTTAAATAGAGGCTACCGTCGGGAACGATTATTAATTCAGTCGAGTCGAGTCGACTCCAGCGAATGCTGAGTGAAACCAGCTAAGTTGCGCCGGAATTATTTTGTACCCACGCCGATTTTTAATCATCGTCCAACGTAACAATATATAGGTGACAGCAGGTTATAGTAGTAGTATTTCCAGCTTAAAATTTTTGACCATTATTCTAAAATCACAGGCAATTCTATATCGACAATTTTGTGGACAGTGTTTCATAAGCAATAATTTTCATTCAGCCATTTTAAAATTAAAAAATTGGTCTAAAGAGTTTAGAAAGTACTTCCCTCGCTGTCGGAAACTTGACGACTGCATGGCTATTGTGTTTTTTTCTCATTACATTTTTGTAGTGGGAATTTAAAAAAAATTGCGATGACGTCATCAACATTTTTGCAAGGACACGTATATCAGTTGGGATAGATGTAGTGTAATACTAAGAATAAAATTATTGTATTCCCAAATTTTCGGGAAAATGAATTGGGTCGTTTTGAATATTGATTTTTTATAATCAATAAAATAACGAAACAATTTACTCACGTATACGGCAACTGAAAATCGTTTATGTATAAACATTCTTAATTTAAGATGACAAGCGTAACAGCATACGTGAGAGTCAAACAGAGAAACTGTAAACAAAACGACCATCGGTTTTATTGCTTCGACTTCCGCTTATTATATAAAACATTGGGTTTTATTTTAATTCTTGACGGTGAAATTCACAATTGGTTGATTATAAACATGTCTATTTCACATTCGCGGAATCAAGTGAGCGCATAAAACAAATGCAGGTCTGTAATGTTAAAGTCGATGTAAATAAGCGTGCTACCCTTATGTTTCAACCGAGTTTTTCCTTTAACAAATTTTGTGTCTACCAAATTGGGTTGGTTGGGGTGTAATACTAATAATAAGTGTTGCCTTTAATTTAATCAATAAAATAAATTGACTTCATTAATTTTTTTGAACCACCTCTTAAGAAAATCTAAAAAATATGAATGGAATGATAAATCACAAGTACAAACTCATCATATTTTTTGCATTTTAGATAGGATTTATTCAGCAAAATTTAAGGGTGACGTCATCAATTTTTTTAGGAGGGATGAACAAATACATTTTGAACAAAAGTTTACCATGCTTATAATAACTTTAAAATATTCCCAAGATTTCAAAGCATTCGGTTTTGTAATTCCTGATTAAATCGATAAAATAAATTCACGCCTTCATTAATTTTTTTGAGTCACCCTGCATATGCAAATCCAAAAATATGAATGGAATGATAAATCACAAGTACAGACTCATCATATTTTGTACATTTTAGATACGATTTATTCGGCAAACTTTTGAGCTGACGTCATCAGTTTTTTGTAGAAGATAACCAAATATATTTTGACTAAAAATTTATTATGCTCTTTATAACCTTAAAACATCTGCAAGATTTCAAAGCATTCGGTTTTGTAGTTCCTGAGTAAATCAGTAAAATAAATTTTGCGCATTCATTAATTTTTTTGAGTCACCCTGTATATGCAAATCCAAAAAATATGAATGGAGTGATATATCACAAGTACAGACGCATCATATTTTGTACATTTTAGATAGGATTTATTCGGCAAACTTTTGAGCTGACGTCATCAAGTTTTTGGAGGGGATAACCAAATATATTTTGACTAAAGATTTATGATGCTCTTTAGACCCTTAAAACATCTGCAACATTTTAAAACATTCGGGTTAGCAGATTCAAAATTAAATTGCAAAATGTTGTTTTATGATTTTGATTTTTTTTCCAAAAATCTGGACGTTTCGGGTAAAAACTGAATTCGGAGTTGTAAACTACATGTGTAGGACTATGTTATTTTATACAATTTAAGACCCATTTACTATGTACAATTTTGAAGTGACGTCATCGCATTAGTGGTGGGGATGATTAGACAAATTTTGGTTAGCGTTTTACCATCTACATGATATTCTTAATATAAGTACAAAATTTCACAACAATCGGTCGAGTACTTTCGGAGATTATCTGTCTAATAAAAATCCGGGACGGCAGACGGACAGACGGACAGACGGACGGACAGACGGACAGACGGACAGACAGACGGAAATGGGAGACCTATTTCTTCGTCTTCTAGGGGCCATGAAAGATCGAGAAAACGTAAAAGTAGAGAGTCGGCCGACGGACTCGATTACAATACTTCCTTTGCTTACGCTCGGGAAGTAAAAACGAATACCATTTTTAATTGATGAAATATGAAATTTTAAGTGTTTTTCAAATGGTGGTGACTTTATATTGTGCTGTTTAAATGTTGGTTTTTTATTAAATCCACCAACACCTGATTGTTACAAGTGACCGAATGTGTGTAAATCTAAAATGGTTCCTAATATATCCTATTTCATTTTATATTGCTTAATTTAAATAACTTTCTCGATTTACCTCTGTCTGTAAATAAACCAATTGAGTTTCAAATTTTCGTTGATGTCATTTAGAGGAAATCTAGTGGTTGCTAAAAAGTTTCCAACATAACTCAACAGGTGATGCGATTTTAATAAAAAACAACCCTTCGATGAAGTTAAGCCAACAGTAACAAGCAGTTGCCAGCGGAATGTGCGAAGCAAAATGTGGAATGAAGTTCATGAAATCGTTAATTAAAAACGTCGCTTTCCGACGTGGTAATTTTTAAAAAGATCTTAAACACTTTCTGCCGTGCCGAAAAAAATTACTGTCATTATTAGCCACGAAGTTCGTCAAAACTCCTTAACTTTCCCCCAATAATCAGTTTTTTGTTTCCATGTTCTTTGATTTGCAAAACTGTATCTGATTTCTGCTCTATGAACATGTTTTGTTGTGTTTACGTTGTAATTTTTGTGATGACTTCATAAATAATGTCGTTAAACTTTAAATAACAAATCAACCAAAATTTCAACATTTTCTGTTGTCTCATTTCTATTATATTTATGTAAATTGTAAGATCTGATTAAACAAATATTATTATTTTTATACATATGCTTAAATTTAAGAATAGGGCAGAACAGTAATATATTTCTATGCACTCGTTCTTCGTAAAAATCAACTGACACTGTATAACGCAATGTCAAAAGAGTCTTTATTAATTTTTATTTCTCCTCATAAAAAATGTACTATCTTCAGATCAGTTTCCACTACATTTATCTAGTTATTCTGACCCATTGACCTCACCACTTTGTTCATTCAAATGTCACCACATAAAATTTCGTAACTTTTAGTCTAAAGTTGACAAGCTTTTGAAAGCTACCACTAGTACATGAATAGATAATAGCTAGATAACATCAGGTAAATGCTATATATCTTTGCTTACAGAAAGGCGGCGGATGAGACCAGAATCCGTTTTCTGTGCAAATAATGCTGGCTTCACCCTCAAGTTGATGGGCACCTCGACACGCGAACTGCACCAAGCTGCCTACGGCGTATCTGCCCCCGTCCATCCCCGCCGCCTCCGACTGGATGAGGTGACCATTAACGGGAATAATGGGCGGCGGACACTGGATAGCTGGCGTAGTGAAAAAAGTCTTCGTAATATAGCGCAATAAATTACCGACAATCATATACTTACGTACGCACTTCGGTAATGGTCCAGACCAATTTCCATTTAACTCGCACTCTATACCTGGTGGGCCCATTAGCCGATAACCCCATGCACAACTAAATACGGCCCGACCACCGTAACTGTTGTTGTGTTCTTCTAACTGCAAATGGGGTTCGTATAATCCACCTGGTGTGGCTAATGACTCGCATTTTACTAGTTCGCATGTTGGCACGGGGGCTGACCACTTTCCTGATTGCCAAAACAGCAAATGTAAAAAACATTAATTTTAAACGACAGTCATAAAAAATAATTATCTATTCACTACCGCAAAATATGGTAGTTACACATTACAGGTTTTATATTTGTTTCAAATTATGGTATACGAGGGTATTCTGATAAATTTTTAACCTAACGCTCAACCTTAACAACGAAGTTTTTTTTGTTTATGTGTAGAATTTCGTAATCATTTCCAGCTTTCCCCATCATTACTGATTCCATGCAATTTTGTAATGTTAAAAACACGTCAAGTTTATTTTTATTCAATTGTTTGAAATTTAGTTAAAAGTAAAATGTCAACATTTCAATTTCCGTTTAGAGATGTTGCTGTTTTAATCACTAGTGAAAAAAGTGGTATGTGTAATATCTCTCAAATTGTTTTAACATTGTGATTAATCTGTGCTTTTTTGGAACACATTTTTTTTTTATGAACATTGCTAGATAATTGTAGAAACAGTTCAGTGACAAATAAATTGTATGTACCAAATAAAATTCTATTTAACAAACTGAAAATTAGTGAAAATCAAATAAATGTGACCCCAATGCATCAGATATTTTTGTCGTTGAAAATACATGTACAATTTCAGGATAAAATCAATCAAATAAACACAAACCTCCGGGCTATAGGTCAGGTAACGTCAAAGAAGGTCGATTTTATATAACACAGATTTGAGAATTCATGTCACTTCAAAACTTAGTACATAATTCGTGTCCTCTTTAAAATAATGAATATTTTTATATTGACGAACAAATATTTAATGCGTTCATGTTAAATCCAAGATGTAAACTTAGCTGAAAATGCCATTCTGTTGCAAGCTATTTTCGGGGGTTAATTTCTTTATTATCGCTGCCAAAAAATTATCAGTTTTGTATTAATTTGCTTTGAAACAATTTTCATCACTTTTACGCTAATTTTCCTCAGGTTCTGGAAAGAGGTAAAGCTCAGGGGGAATTAAAATGGCCTAAAAAATTGGTCTAAGGTTATTTCGAAGAATCTCCCTCGCCCCTGAAGTCCAGCCCAATAAATCCCGTTTCTTTAAAAAAATATAAACAAAATTTGCGATTTTTGTTTTCTGATAATCTCTATAAAGTAAAAACCAGTGGCGTAAATAACATTTCTGCAGATTTTCTGACTTGAATTTTTCTATTATTTTTTATTTTTTATTTTTTTGTTTCTTCAGTTTTTCGATTTGCAATTTATCGAGTTTTCAAGTTTAAATTTTAAGCTTTTCTATTTTCAGATTTTGCAATTTTTCGATTTGGCTTTCTCGAGTTTGTTTCGTTCCGGTTTTTTATTTTCTTTAAATTTCAAAAATTAGATTTTTCAATGTCTCGATTTTATAAATTTTTGGTTTTTCCATTTTAATTTTTTCAACTCTTTGTTCAGTTCCCGATTTGCAATTTTTCATTTGGGTTTTTTATTTTATTTATTTTTACAGTTTTTCGATTTTTTAATGTTGCGATTTTTTTGTTATTTCAGTTTCACATTTTTGAATTTTTCGTTTGTTCAGGTTTTCGATGTGCAGTTTTTCGATTTCTAATTTCACGAGTTCTCAATTTTCAGATTTTTCAATTTTTTTATGTCTTCAATTTTTCGATGTGCAATTTTGTGCTTCGGCTTTTTATTTTCTTTATTTTTAAATTTTTTCAATTTTTCAACGTTTTGATTTTATAATTTTTTGTTTTTTTTTGTTTCTTCAGTTTTAATATGTGCATATCTTCGAGTTTTCATTTTTGAATCTTCCAGTTTTCCGATTTTTCAACTTTTGGATGTTTCAATTTTAAGATTTTTCTATTTTTCATTTTTTCAATTTTTCGACTTGCAGTTCTTCGTTTCGGATTTTTATTTTCTTTATTTTTTCAATGTCTCGATTTTATAATTTTTTGGTTTTTCCATTTTAATTTTTTCAATTTTTTGTTCAGTTACCGATTTGCAATTTTTCATTTGCTTTTTTCATTTTATTTATTTTTAGTTTTTCGATTTTTTAATGTTACGATTTTTTTTGTTATTTCAGTTTCACATTTTTGGATTTTTCGTTTCTTCAGGTTTTCTAATTTTTCTTTTTTTCAATGTGAAAATTTTCAGTAACAGGATTTAAATTTTTTTTTATTGGAATTTTCAATATTTCGATTTTTAATTTTTCAATTTCCCAATTTCAATTTTTCGAATCTGCAGATATTAGTTTTTCCACTTTATAATTTTTACGATTCTATGTATAATTTTTTGATTTTACAATTTTTAGGTTTTCCAATTTTTCGAGTCGATTCGTTCATTCTTCTTTCCACTTCTTCAATTCATTAAATTTTTTTTGGAGTTTTAAGTTTCTCGATTTTTTTTCAGTGTTCTGATTTTTAGTTTCTTCAGTTCTCCAATTTGCAATTTTTTGATTTCCCATTTGTTCGATTTTGCAATTTTTTCCGAATTTTTAGTTTTCCAAAAAAAATGGGAAAATTGCAAAACAGTAAAATTGAAAAGTCAAAAATAAAAAATAAAAGGGTATAAAAGCAAGACTTTGAAAAATATAAAAATTGGAAATCAAGAACTTGAAAAATTAAAAATTGAGAAACTTAAGAATAGAAAAACTGCAAAAAACGAAATATTTTAAAATCGAAATATTGTAAATTAAATAAATCGGAAAACCTCATAATTGAGGAATCCAAAAATTGCAAAACTGGAAAAATTCTGAAACTTTAAAATTGGAAAATCGAGGAAATCAGAGATCGAAAATTTGAAGAATTGAAGAAACGAAAAATTATAAAATCCAAAGAAACATTGAAAAAATTAAGGAAATGAGAAAAACCAAAAAATGCGATATAAAATCGAGAAACTGAAATTAAAAGATTTGGAAAATGAAAAATAAAAGTCAAGAACTTGAAAAATTGAGGAAACGAAAAACTGAAAAATCCAAAAATGAAAAATTGAGAAACTAAAAAATAAAAAAATGAAAAACTGCAAATCGAAAAATTGAAGGAATGAGAAACTGAAAGACTGAAAAAATTAGAGTAGAAAAAACAAAAAATCGTGATATCAAAAATTTGTAAAATCGAAGAAAAACGAATAAGGAAAAATTGTGAAATTAAAAAATTAATTTTTTGTTATAAGATTTGATTTGACGAATTTTATTTTTATGATAACCCTTATAAGTTAAAATAAATATGGATGTAATGTTAAAGTAAAGGTAAAGGTAAAGAAGCGTGCTACGCGTTTGTTTCAAGTGAGTTTTCTATTACAAAATTTTGTGATGACGTCATTAACATTTTTACAAGGACATGCATGTCAATTTGGCTAAATGCAGTGTAATACTAATAATAACGGTACTGCACTCCCAAATTTTCGGGAAAGGAGTGAGTCGTTCTTGATTTAATCAGTACAATAGACTGCATCGTTAATTAATTTTTTGAGTCGCCCTATATAAATAATTCTAAAAACTAGATTGTATTGATAAACTACACATATAAAGTGGGAATATTTTGCATATTTCAGAGGGGATTTATTTGACAAAATGTTAGAATTTGTAACTGTTCTTGGTTCTAACACAATTTAACAGTCATGAAATTGTTTACGTGCTAGGAAATCCACTCTTTTGTTTATCAAGTTATAACTGAGGTTTCTGGATGTTTTTACTTAACTATGACCGTATAACATTTTAATAATTTCTCGCTCGAGATTGCTAACAGTTCATTTATGGTATTTAAACTGACCAACGGTTAGGTCCATTTTGAGAGAAAAAGTGCGGTAAAATTCATACTCTCGTGGACTCGAAAAACAGGAAAGCCTAATTATTTTCTTTCAAGTTTAATAATTTTCTTGCGGATTACATCTTTACCTGTGACTGTTCTAAACGTAGCTTTTCCGCTGATTTTGATTTGGATCGTGTTGAATATGTGTTTATTTTTTATTTGTATGTGATGTTGGGTTTTCTCGGTCCACGACGTAATCTGTGAATGCGATTTGACACGATGAAGCACATGAAATAACACCTAAATTAATCCGATGTAAATTCTTTGTTGTTTATAATTGTTGATAGATTGTGGCATAATTTTAATTCTGATTCAGTCATTGTTATCAACTCGAGAGAGATAGAATTGAACTTATTCGAAATAAAAGGGCACAAGTTCACGTGGCGAAAGCGGAACACACGGTTTCTAGTTAAGGTTTGCGGTTTTGGCATTGCCCGAATAGATGTTGAAATTAAACTTCATGGGAGACTCGCGTCCGTGTGAATGGCGTAGCTTGTCCCAATAGTTGAGCTTTTTGCGAAGACCGAGTAGAGAGTGTAATTACGCTGTAGATTTTTTGGGCATAGAAGTGTAGAGTGTGTGTTACCTGTCTACACAACGTAGGGTTCGACTTTTGTTGATGAGCACAGTTCAAGGCCAAATTTTAAATTTTTGGCGGGTTTTAAAATCTTGTACACATGTCAAATTTTGGCGAGATGTTGGGGTTATCAGGTTATCACAGTGTTGTAGTCATTTTAACGTAATAAATTACTATTATTATATATTTAATTTTTATTGCTATTTGTCGACGACCTTACCTACTTTTCTGTGTAGAGGACTTATTTTGTTAGTACGTTAGTAGCTAGTTGTAATACTAACAATGTTGTAACTGAGTGACGTGAAACGTCTGGAATTTTTGTTAGCGTTTAAACTCTTGGAACACATCCAATAGCATAGTTAGCTTGCAAAGTTGCAACAGATATCAGTTTTTCTAGTTCCGCTATTTAAGAGCTGTATGCACTATGACTCTATATTCACAACACGTAACTTAAACAGAAATTAGACTGTGTAAAATTTGTGCGGTATCTCTTATAGTTATTTTATTTAGGTCTGCGCATATTTCTTCAGATATTTAATGTTATCCTTTCATGTAATTCAATTTTTTTTTTCAAATTTCGAAAGTAATATATACTTTATATTATTTTACTCAATTGCCTATGGAGATCAATAATTAAAGCGTCAATTTTCGTAGC